ACAAACAAACAAACAAACAAACAAACAAACAAACAAACAAACAAACAAACAAACAAACAAACAAACAAACAAACAAACAAACAAACAAACACAAAACTTTGGGCCATCCTTATCCATATGTCACAACGTCGGGTTATTATCTCAAAATTCCTACTTAGTAGTCAAGTTTTTTCTCAGAAGTTTGAGTTATTAAATTAAATTGTTGAGATACTTATGCAAAGTTTTCACTTTTCCTATTTTCTATAGTATTCCACATTGATTAAAAAAAAGAATAGATAAAGAAACCGGTTAGATACTCATATAAATGTGAAAAAAGGAAAATCGACAGGAAGTGACACCCATAAGAGTTCACCAATACTAAGAAGAGTGAGGCTTCATGGGCGTATCACAACATGGTTTCCGCTCATCTCCCAAAAGGGGCTTATTTTATCACACTCATTACCGCAGTTTATGACTGAATGTACACAGCAGAGGACAGCTGTTACTCTGAGCTTAGCATGAGAACGTGATAGGGATGAAGGGGTGATATTGTTGTTAATTATTATATTCTGACTTCATGAGGTTTTAAACTAATGCGAAATAATCTACAAAACCATTCACACCAGGGGGTACCTCAAAAATAATTATTTAACTACTCAGAAATTACACCCAGTTTCACAAAGGTTTAAGTATAAATAGACTCCTGACTAAAAACCAAGCTCACAGCTTGACCAATTAAAGACACGTGATACAAGTAAGTTAAAATGACAAAACCATCAACAGTAGATTTCTATAAGGCCTCTCAAACTAAAGCCTACATTTAAAATCACACCTTGATTGCGTTTTGAAGGTGCTTTACAGAAGCAAAACAAAGAAAGACTGTAGGTATCCAAACAGCAGTGACTCGCGCCACTGTGTGATTCATTAGCTGAGTGGTTTAGTGTTGCCACCTGCTGGCGGGATTAATTAACAACTGTTAACTGGAAATGTAGGCAACGTTTATCTGGGGTCAGATGCATAGACTGTGTGTGGTTTAATTTCACTGTAACATGCAGATTACTGACGAAAAATGTAACCAACTAAGTATTTTACAGAACCCTATTGCACAAATACAAGCTGGCATCCCTCTCATTCAAAAAATTGTCATAAAACTGAGTGAGCTTTTTTTTTTTTTAAAATTAAAGAACAGATGAAAAATGTTAAAACTTTTTAAAATGGAGACAGTGCCCATGCTATTGTAATGTATTTCCTGTAACTCTGGAAGTTTTACTCCGTTTGTCTGTGGCAGAGCATGAGAGAGGAACTGAGAAAAAAGTGTGAACATACTGATTTATTCAGTGCCAAACATTAACCCAAAATAAACCGAAACAAATAACAATCAGTTGTTCTCCCTTTGCTGTTTTGAATTGATGCATTAATTGAAATTCTGCAGTTTATTCGTACAAATCGTTTTCTTTTTGTTTATTTTTTCCATTAAAATATGTAGTTTGCTAAAGATTAGAACTTTATTGTTGGGCTTAGGAAGTACCAGGAGATCATTGGCCATGTAAAGTGGTGCATTTGAGTTTATGAACAGTTTTCAATTGTCTGCATTTCTTTATGAATATGACCTAAATCATCATCAGGTCTGCACTCAAATAGACCTGATGATGAATTGGATTCTACGGAACCGTATGTTTGAAAACAAAGCATGTCTATACATTTACTTCATGTTTTCTGTTTAATAATAACACTGACATTGTGCTAGTCTTAGCTTAGACTAAGAATAAATGTTAGTTCCTTTTACTGCTGCATACTTCCTCACTTGTATTTGAACAGGTAACAGTTTTTGTGTTTGTAAATACTAATAAAAAAGAAAGTAGTGAGTTACTTTTGAAATGAATAAAATAGATTTGACAGAAGAAAGCAAAGGTCCCTCGTTTACTTGCAACTCTCCTAAGTGGCTTCTCATGTTGTCCACATGGAACTTTCCTTTAAAACTGAACTTAGACAATTAAAAAACACAAATCACTGTGTTATCTGATAGTCCAATTGCACAACAGATTCAGCATCATGGCTGTTACCTAAACATTTAACCTAATAATCTCTAATGGTGGTTTTTCTGACACTGCCTTTTACTAAGGCTAGAGTTTAATCTAGTCTGCTTGAAGTAATTTTTCTGTGACTGGAAATAGTCTCATTCTTCAGGTCCTTACAGTATACTGGTAGTCATGTGTACCTGTATGTAATTAAGTAGCGTGGCATGTCATAACCTGACGACATAGGATGAGGGATGAACACACAGCTAACGCAGAGGACGCGACAAAGGGCAGGGAAAAACACAGGGCTTAAATACATACTGGCGTAATAAAGGAATGCGAGACAGGAGGGAGACACAGCTGGGACAATGCAGGGACGATGAAAGACGGGGAAGCAACACTGAAACCAGAAACATGGCACAAGGATTACCAAAGTAAAACAGGAAACTGAGAATAACATTTTATAAACAACAAATAAATAACATTTTATTTACATAGCACCTTTCTAGACAGAATCACGAAATGCTGCAAAAAGATAAGTCATGAAAGGTAAAACAGACAATATAAAACAGGCAAAAATGAACCAAAAGCTAGGTTTTGATATAATCTAGGCAGTCATTCAGAAGCTGGAGCTTGGATAAATCTTGGGGCTTAAAACTGAATGTCATCAGCGTAACAGTGATAAGAGATGTCCTTGAAGGAGCCCATTATATGCTGGAGGGGGAGAAGATATTTTAAAAACAATAAAGGCCCCAAGACCGAACCTTGAGGGACACCATAAGTAAGGGAGGTAGAGGATGACCTAAAAGCAGAAACCCCATAGAAAAACATCGGTGATGTAAATATGAGGAGAACCACTCTAAGGCAGTTCCACATACACCAACCCAAAGTTTTGGCCTTTCAAGCAGGATATGGTGGTCAACTGTGTCAAATGCCAACGTGAGGTCTAACATAAGCAGAACAGAGCATTTTCCTGCATCATTACTCATCAAAATGTTGCTAGAGACCCTAAGAAGGGCTGTTTGCGTGGAGTGAACTCTACGAAAGCCGGACTGAAACGTATCAAGAAAAGCTATCTTTGTCCAGAGCCTCTATAAGTTGCTTAGCCACAACCTCTTCTAGAAGCTTAGAAATTAATAGTAATTTAGAGATTGGCCTGTAACTGCTCCAAAGAGAAGGGTCTGACTGGGATTTTTTTAAAAGTGGGAGAATAGCAGCATTTTTAAAATAAACCAGAACTATACCAGATGCCAGTGAAAAGTTGATTAAAGTGAGCACACATGGACCAACAGACTGGAAGACATTTTTGAATAATGATACAGGTACAACAACAACAAGAGGATGCTTTCACAGAATTCACTAGTTTTACCAGCGCAGGTAGTGAAACAGGAGAGAAAGTATCCAAGATGATGGTCCGAGATGGGGTAGAGACAGACAAAACAGGTACTGATTGTAAAAAAAAAATCATTCTTACATTATTAATTTTTGCAAGCAGAAAAGACAGAAAATTTTCACAATCTTCATTAGAGGAAATAGGGGCTGCAGGTAGAGCAGGAGTAACAATGGTGACTAATGGTTGAATAACACCTTATGATTACCTCTGCTCTTTGTAACCATTTGTTAGAAATAGGCAGCCCTCGCATCTCTGATAGCATTATTAAAAGAAGCTAAAAGAAATTCAGTTCACAACATGTACCTGTGCACGGTACAAGCCTGTTGCAAAAACACATCATATGTTCACATTTCTTTAGTTGACTCTAAGTAGATTTTTATGTCAAAGACAACACTTTGGAGATATAAAATAGTATTTGTGCACAAACAAAATGATTTTGCATAAGCAAAACCGGGCATGTGGTGCAATTTAAAAAAAAATAAAATAAAAGAGGGAAATGCACAATCACAGGACAAAAGAAGAAGTTGCAGGCCTAAAAAAAACATCAACAGCAGATGAACTGTATCTAAAAGTCCTGTCCTTAAGAAACAGGAAAGACTCTAAAAGACCTCGCACGGGACCTGAAAACTGCATCTGGGCCTTGAGTCAAAAGTTAAAATGATCTCATCAAAAGGGCGGCTGTCAAGCCATTCTTAAGGAAGGGAAACAGGAAAAAAAAAGCCAGATGTATGCCAAATTACACAAGAACTGGAGTGAAAATCAGGGACAACAGGTTTTATGAAGTGATGAACCCAAACGTAACCTTTTTTAGTTGATATTGCATGTGTGGAGGAGGTAAGGAAAGAGGTAGAACAGTGGGGTGTTGCATTTCAGACAGTGGTGTTGGGGATCTTGTCAAAACTGAGGTCACAATTAAGGCTTTTTCCATACAGCAGACAGGAAACAAGAGCTGAATGTGTGGAGAGTGTGTCGTCCCCCCCGCCCCTTTTTTTCACATAACCAAACGAAGTCACACATCAAAAATAAACTATTGGAAATGAGGTAGACATCACCATGCATGTAAGAGGAAACATGCAGAAAGCTTATTATCAACTTCTGGGTAGAAACTGAAAAATTTTCAGGAAAACCCCAATGACGTGTACCCATGTGACTTACTTGCAAATACGTGTGAAAACAGACACAACATGTTTTCAGATCAACTTTCAGTTCCTTTTAATATGAGGAAGACTTAACCAGTCTACCCTTTTCTGGTGCAGAGGTTTTTGATTTTACTTCTCTTACTTAAATATTATTTTCTTTTGCCAGATTATTGTGCATTTTTGCAAGTTTAATAAATATTTTTTTCCTCCTAGGAGCTCTCATTTACCCAACTAACTGCACTTTCCTATGAATTCATTCAATTTTGAATTCATTTCAGCACACTTTGGCACTGACTGATGAAATAACAGCTTTAAATGACCTGAAACATTAGATAAATCACTGCAGGTTTATGTGCAGTAGGTAAATAAAAGGTGTGGTGCCTTTACTGTGGCTACATTTTACTGATAAGACATTTTTATGTGAGGGAATAAGCTAATAAGCTAAAGTTGTGGAAAAAGATGTTCCTCTTTGTCATATGATAAACTGCCCAAAAGTAGGAGGGGCTTAGGGTTTATAGTCAGTGGTGTCAGCACTCACTTTTGACACAGTCATCATGAAAACTGCAGTGGCCCTCCTGGCTCTCTCTTTCCTTCATGTCTGCTCTTCAGTACCTGTGAGTCGTCCAACAAACTGGCTCAGACAATGCCGTGCTTCTACCAACCTCTCCATCACAGCGCTGGAGGTGCTGCCAGGTGGAGGCTGGGACAACCTCCGGAACATGGACATGGGTCGAGTCATGAACCTCAGCTACTCCCAGTGCCAGACCACTGAGGATGGGCTCTACCTCATTCCAGATGAAGTGTTTGTCATCCCCCAAAAACAGACAGGTGTGGAGACCAGCTCAGAGATCATCAGTTCCTGGCTTGAGCAGAAAAGCTCGACATCTCACTCCATTAATGCTGACATATCCTTCCTCACGGTGCTCAATGGTAAATTTTCTGTTGAGAACACTAGAATGAAAACCCATCAGGTCAGAGACTCATCAACCACAGCCAGAGTGCAGGTAAGTTTTCAGATGTTTTGAATAAATAACAATAAAGGTAAAGGAAAAATGCACAGTACTGATGTTGAGACTTTTTTTATATTAAGCAATTTACCATTTATTAATCATACAGTATTTGTACAGTATGCTAAGACATTATATTTAGAATAGAATAGAATAGAATAAACCTTTATTATCCCACGAATGAGAAATTTGGGTGCTATACAACTCTTATAGCAAGAGGAATATAGACACAAAGTAGTCCTATATACATAAGCCACTGAGATATGCATAAAAGTGTACAGAGACGTATAAAATCTACAGAGACATGTACAAAAGTGTGTGTGTGTGTGTGTGTGTTGGAGGGGGGGGAGGGGGTTATGAATACTATGAATATGTACAAACAAGATGCAAATGACTAACAGCAATTAAAAACAAGTGATATGTCAATTAAACCGGTAATGAGTAAGATAACCATGTTAAACTGTGTTATAGATTCTGACAGCTGCTACCAGTTTGTTATGTTTCCCCATGTCCCTCTCTGCCATTCCACCACGCCAGCAGACCACAGCATAAAAAATAGCAGACGCCAGCACAGTGTTGTAGAACATCCTTAGAAATTTAGCTTTAGCATTTTATTCCTTTATGATCCTATATAATGCACTTTTAAAATCACTGTAAAAATATTAGAGTTAGCCAAAAAAAAAAGCTTTTTTAACTGTAGTCTCAGCACATATGTTAAAAGTAATTTTAATTACAGAAAATAAAGAAGAGATTGAGATACACAGTGATGTACAACAATAATTAATCTTATAATCCTCTCTTTCAAAGGTTCGTAACTTCCTCTACACAGTTAAGGCTTATCCAGACTTCACTCTGGACACACGATTTGTTCAGCAAGTCAGAAACATCGCTGATGCAATTGAGAACAACCAGACGAGAAGTGCAGACTATCTCTCGGAGAAGATGGTGCTGGACTATGGGACTCATGTCATCACTAGTGTGGATGCTGGGGCGGCTTTGGTGCAGGAGGACTATCTCTGTTCCTCTTATGTGTCAG